GGAGAAGCAGTGGTGCTCTGTCTCTAGTCCAGCCGCCTCTGCAGTCAGAAAAGCTCCTATCAACCCACAAACAATGAAATATTAGGGGAGATTTGCCCTATCTGTTGGAAGGTAATCCAAATGAACTTTAGATGACAAGGGACATCCTAGATTAGGTTACCAAAGGCAGCAAGAGATGGGTATTAACTGTGTAAAATTGGTATCACATTATTTTGTTTGGTTCCCGTCCTACCAGTTAATCTTCTGGATCTCTCATGCTTGACTTTCATCATTAGGAAAGTGGACATGGAAAAGGAACTGTTTCATAGCTACTTACATGTCGAGCATTCAATGAGCATTCACTAAAACTCCTGCTATTCTTGCAAATATCATAAACCTGGGGCTGCTGTATGATAAAAATCGCTCTTTGAGCTTTAATAGTGTTGAAATACTGCCTGAGATGAAGTGTGTGTGTATGGAATACTCTGCAGACCAAGACATCAAGAAACCCTAAGGAAGTTATATGTTTGATGAAATCTCAATATGTGTTGTGTTAGCTACTACAACACGCATTTTAGAGATTTCCCACATAAATAAGGTCATTCCCACTGCCACCCAGCTAATAAGTATATGTAGTAGAAAAGAGATAAACACATTAATAAAATGAACAAACTAGAGGAGTGTTAGGTTTTAGTTCTTAAAAATCTTGATGCTATATTTAATATATTTTATACTTAACAAAATAGTAGTACCATTAGCATTACTGGCTGTTCCACAGAAAACAAAATCAATTTCTAATAAGGAGAGAATATGGACAACTTAGTTAACAAAGTTTTCAACATAGAAAAATCTTTACATTTAGCTCAATTTCACACACACACACTCACACACACTTAAACCTCACATCTGTCTAAATCATTTCTCACTTAAAAATGTGCCAAAACAGGTGAGCTAAAATCATGTAAATCTATGATGTATAACTTAGATTGCATTTAAACCATTACAGCTTATTATGTTATGTACATAATATATTATGTGAAGTATATTTAATTCCACATTAGGCATTGTGGATAAGCACAGTATTTAATTAAAAAAAAAAACCTTTTATTAAGGTAACTATAATTTAAAGCCTCCAGAACAAAATTAACATATTCATTTTGAAAAACAAATGTCCCTACAGGCCACATCGTCCTGCTCTGTGGTAAGACAATGCCAAATTTCACAGAGGTAACAGAATTTATTCTTGTGGGGTTGACGAGTCATCAAGAGCTCCGGGTTCTGTTTTTTGTGGTGTTCCTGGTAGTTTACACGATCACTCTGTTAGGGAATATTGGTATGATTATTTTGATTGGCATCAGTCCCCAGCTTCAGAGCCCGATGTACTTTTTCCTGAGTCATTTGTCTTTTGTGGATGTGTGTTTCTCCTCCAACGTTACCCCCAAAATGCTGGAAAACTTACTGTCAGAGACCAAAACCATCTCCTACGTGGGGTGTTTGCTGCAGTGCTACGTTTTCATTGCTCTTGCCCATGTCGAGGTCTACATCTTGGCAGTGATGGCCTTCGACCGCTACATGGCCATCTGCAACCCCTTGATTTATGGCAGCAAAATGTCCAGGACTGTGTGTGTTCGGCTCATCTCCGTACCTTACATCTACGGATTCTCTGTGAGTTTAATGTGCACGCTGTGGACTTACGGCTTGTATTTCTGTGGCAACTTTGAAATCAACCACTTTTATTGTGCAGACCCTCCCCTCATCAAGATCGCTTGTGGAGGGGTGCACATCAAGGAGTACACAATGATTGTTATTGCTGGAATTAACTTCACCTACTCTCTCTCCGTGGTCCTTATCTCTTACTCGCTGATTGTGGTAGCCGTGCTGCGCATGCGCTCTGCAGATGGGAGGAAGAAGGCATTCTCTACGTGCGGATCACATCTGACCGCTGTTTCCTTGTTCTATGGGACCCTGATCTTCATGTACCTGAGGCGACCAACGGAGGAGTCGGTGGAGCAGGGGAAAATGGTGGCTGTGTTTTATACCACAGTGATTCCCATGCTGAACCCCATGATCTATAGTCTGAGGAACAAGGATGTGAAAGAGGCGTTCACCAAAGCAATGACCAAGACATGCTTGGGGCAGTGATATTGGAGTGTATGTTTAGTGGTATGTTGGTCTATATGGTGTTTTACTTTTTAAAGTTCCTAGCTAAAAAATCACTCTCTGAAGACAACTCTTCCCTGTCCTAAAATATCCACTCTAGCAGAATTCTGTTTTATCTCAAGAACCGACTGTGAATATTAAGCATGCTTTACTGTATACCTGCTATCACGGTAATAAAACTGCCATAGTGTCATTCGAAGTGTTTATAAAATTGCATCAAAAATGTTTTAAAAATCAGTTTAGATAAAAATTGCTACTTTGCAATTGTTTTTTAGATTCATATATTCTTTCTTATGCAGTTTTCTATTTATACAATTCTTCATCATAAATTTCATGTGAAATGTGTAGTTTTTGTAGGAAAAATATACATTTATCTCCTATGACTGTAAATTTCATGAGTGGAAATTACCTAAAATGTTTAAAAGTGTGCATACCTAAGCAGGTTTTTTGCAACAGAATTCTATTCAGAACCTTCAAGCCATATCTTACTATAAACATTAGAGTTGTTCTTGTTCACTTTTCAGTTATTAATGTTTGCATTCCAATACTTTGTTCTCTCACTTTAGATCCTTGATTTGGATTTGGTATATATTTTTGAATTAGAAGGATGAAACATCTTGGTCAAAAGACTTTCCTGCCTTCATCATAATCAAAAGATAAATGAATATGAATTTCCTGATGTTTAATGTGCTATTTCTTACCATGCAATATCCTCACATTACACCTTTGGTGATATGATTTACAAATGTTGTTTACTTCCAGGTTTTCTTACTTTGACTTCTTTGACTGAATTAGCAGGTCAAATTCAATTTTCAGTAGTTATACATTATCAGTTATATAAATAAATGGCAGTGTGGTGGACATACATTCAAATTTGACTAACACATTTCAAAATTTCATCACATTTAGGCCTGGATACAACATAAGTGGTGAAACTTGCTGCCTACTTTCTCTAGATTGGTGCCTCTTCAGGTCACTTGTTCTATAATAAATTCTTGTTTCAGGAAAAGTTACATTTATGCCCCTTTCTGCAACTCTTACTAGCCTAACAGGATAAAGCTGGAGGGGAAATAGACATGTTCATGAAAACGGAATTCACCATTGGTAACTGGAGTAAGTGCAGAATGAACCCAAGAAGTAGCGTAGATGACGATGGGACCTCTGGAAAGTCTGATTCACGCTGGCACAGGAAGCTGCATTCCCTCCAGTGAACAATGGGTCTTCTGCGGGCAGCTCAGAGTGTAACTGGGGGTGGGGGCAGGATAAATATACTTCGAAGCTTTGAGTCTGAGCGTGGATCAGAAGAGTACCACTGCTTTCCATTTCAGTGGAGTTTGCAGTGTTTGCTTCTAAGAGTTTAGGGTGAAATAGAAAGAACATGCTCAAGTGCCATCTGCTTCCAAGCTTGACATGAAAACCTGACACTGTAACACCATGTTGCTGTGATATACATGGCAGAGCTATTATTCACAATCCACTACAGTATTTTATTTTTTCTTTTATAAACCAAAGACTGGCAATACACTGACAGACCTTAATTTCCATTTGTTTCTGTTCTCAAGATATGAATTTCGTACTCAGCTTAATTACTGTGCTGCCCACTGACACTTATGCCTAATACTGAAGGCCTGTTTCCTCATTCAAAGCCAAGAGATGTAAACTTTGTGCTCTCTTTCCAAAATACTCCCCCTGCTTGAGAGGAAGATCTGAGTGCTCCATAGAGAGGGTATTCAAGGTGTTCAAGTCTCTGTATTATGAGAAAGCAACTTAACTATTCTTTATTTTATCACTGTATTTAGAGTTCTACCACTTTAAGCACAAATACGGGTTCCTTAATCCTTGATTCTGTTGTTCTTATAATAGTCTGCAGACACATATTTCTGAGCATCTCAACTACCACTCCCCGGGTAAATTACATTTTAATTCCCTTCCCTTTTTTTCTTCACCACTTACGTTGTTGGACTTGTCCTGGCCTCCAGTTGTCAGGTTAGTTGATTTTGAATTAATCCCCTTAGTCCTTCCTGCCACGCTCTTTCCTTCCCTTCCTCCAGCCTGTGCAGATGCTTGCAAGCTTCTGTCTGGGGTCAGGAGTTTTCCTCTGCTTCCTCTACCCCATGTCCGTAGGTGTAGATTTGAGGTTACTCCACTGTTACACAGGGTGGGTGGAAACGTGTCCCCCAAAACCTATGCTGAAGTGTTAAATCACAGAACCTCTCAAAGACTTTCACTGGAAATAGTGATTAGGGATGTCAGTAGTGAATGTGAGAGTGCTTCTAATTTCAGGGAGTCATTTACCCGATGGGACCCACATCTTTAAGAGGAGAGAGAAGTTCAGACAGAGAGGTGGTGAAAAAAGCCAGGTAGAGAGGGAGGCAGAGACTGGCAGGTGCTGCTGACTTAAACTCTGACAGGAGTCACCAGAGTTTGGATTTGAACCTCCACATTTGTGAGTATGTTTCCTGGTTTGAAGCCATTCATCTTGTGGTCCATACTGTCTTATGGAAGTCTAAGAAATCCGTATATTACTGTTTTCATTGTCAGGTTGGAATTGTGGGTTCTTTGAACTCTAGTTAGTCTCCTGACTTATGCTTGGGAAGGTGAGCTTTCCTCCCTTTGGCTCCCTGAGAAGCTTCAAACTTCTCTAAATCTTTGCTTGTTTGTTCATTTCATCTTAGCGATTGATTTTGCAACACATCCTTGAATCCAGCTACTCAGTAGAAGGGACGCGGTTTCCCTTTGCAAAGTTGTAGGAAACTTCAATTCTGTGCACATTGGCCATCTCAGCTCCACTGTCTGCAGTCATGAAGGAGGTTCTCTTGTGATCATGCTTCTCATCATGTGCCTCAGTCACTTGGCTGAAGGTCTGAGCCATTAGTTCTCCAAGTAGTTCAAAGCCGTGGTCTCAGAATTTCAAAACAAACAAAAGTAAAACATTTTTGTTTACAGTACTTTTTTGAGATTCTTCAGAATTAATTTGTCTGCTATATATAAATGCTTTCCCTAAAAAATCAGTTTGAGGGTTTTGAAACCACAGTTATATTTCATTGTTTACTCCACAGAATTTTTAACATTAAGAATAATCCATTTAAATACCTCCTTGGTGCTGTACACTGATTTTAAATGGTAGTTTAATGATGATGTTTAAGGAAGTTTGGAAAGATGGATGTAAAAATATTTGAAAAAATATCATAGTTTAAGGTAAAAAGAATAATAGCATAGCTGCCATTCTATTCTACAATTTTTAGAATCTAAATATGAATGAGATCATGAAATACTGCTTGGCTACTTCTGCCTTTTTTTTTTCTTTTTTTTTTTTTTGGGATGGGGTACCAGGAATGGAACTCATGACCTCATGCTTCCAGGCAAGTGCTTGTGCTGTTGAGCTATATCCTTGGCCCTATCTGCCTTATTTTTCTTAATATCCTCAGTGTCCATCCATAATTTTGTAAGTGATGAATTTTTTTATTTTATGGCCCAGTAGTATTCCATATATACTGAATTTTTATAATATATATTATATAGTTGTCTCTATCTATCTATTTTCTATGCTTTATGTATCATGAAAAAACCTGGGAATGCTTGCTTTTATTTACCTGGGTTATATAAGCAACTGTGTGACAGCTGAGTCATACGGTACTGCTATTTTTATGTGTTTGAGAAAACTTCATACTGTTCTCCTTCATGGCTGCACTAATTTACTTTTGTACCTGCGGTGGGGAAGATTCCCTCCAGGCTGGGCTGTGGGACGCGAAGTTACTCAGTGGGTGTGAAGTTCCTGCTCTATTGGAGGAAGAAGTTCTGGCTGTTTATTGCCAAGCAGAGTCATTATATTCAATAATAATCAATGGTCATGCAGTAGTTTTATA